TAGTGTACCTTCAAAAAAACTACATTATACCCTTGACGCTCGCTCCATCTACTTTATATTACACCTTATTACATTTCTCCTTAATCCCAATAATCTCATCTTATTACAAAACTTCTCGACCATTTCGTGTCAGATCATTTCATTTATTCGCTTTTAATCTGGTCTAACTTCATTTCTCTTCAACCTATTTCCCCATCAAATTTAATATCTGGTAATTTCAGTTACTTTGCTTTCATCTTGTTTAATCCCATCATAGGATAGTCCACACTCCAATCCAATCCCATTTACATTTTGCCTGTTTTTAATCTTCTCACATCACTGTATCTCTTCCAGTCCAATCCTAATGTGCTACTCGTATAAGCTTATCTTATTTTCATCATGTAGAATCTCAAATAGGGTAATTTCAGGGTACTAGTTCTTATATCATTATATATATGCATATCTCTTGTCTCCTCATCAATCCCCTATTACTTTGATATTCTTCGATTTATGTATTTTTCACATAATTATTTTAGTCCTAGTATCAATAGCTATTCTTTTTTAATTCTTACCTTCGCTGGAAATTTTCCTATTAATGTATGCTTGCAACATAATTCTATTTTTTTATTATTCACTTCGTGTTGTCAGTGATGTGAGCATAATTATTCATTTATTTGTTTGATTCCTTTTCATCAGGCTGTTGTCATTGTGGTATACGCATTTTACTTGAGCGAGATGTTTAGTCAACAACTGCTAGTCAACCATAAGACCATGCTACAGTCAAACCGGACTACCGACGGACTAACCGACCTGGGGGACGATAGTTCGCGACCTACGTTTACGGTAACAGAGGGCTTGGAGATCTACATCCCGCTCGCTAGTCTTATCAAGTTTCTGCTTTACATGGGCTGGTTCAAGATAGGTCTCAGTCTGATTAATCCGCTGCGTGAGGATCAGAGTCATTTTCCAATGTCTGCAATTCTCGACTTTAATCTGGAGGTCTCAGTTTCGATTGCGCTCTGTACCACTTCTGTATTGCCTGGTAAATTTGAAAAAAATCGCAACAATATATCTACACAAAATATAACATTTTCAATCCTATATCAAATTCGCATGGATTTTCTTGTTGATGAGTGCTGATGCTACAGATTAAAGATGTGGCAGACTTCTAATGTGGGTGTTGTGACTCCTCAGATGAGTCTCCAGTTACAGGCACTATAGATGAGATGCTTACATTATGATGGACAAAAAGAAGAAAATTAGAACTGAGTTTACTTAGGATAGTAGTAATCATAGCATTTGTAGAAGCCACGCCATCTCAAACAAGTGAAATAGCATTACGTATTGTAATAGATTTTTTTATTATTAAGAAGCCGATATCAGATGCCACACTAAGAACGAAAGTTAGTGCAGTCAGAAAGCTGAGAGCTGGGACAAACCTCCAAAGAAAGATTGCCTTGAAGTTGCGAGTTTAGCTTAGAAGCCACAGGACGCTGTTCTCAAACCTCAAGAAATCTTCGCAGTATTCTCGTCCATCCGGCTGCCTTTATACGTTTAATAGGGTTTTATATTCAACTTGACGATATCCGCTTCAGGAAGGACGATACAATGGGCATTGAGGCATAATCCGGGAAATTACTAGGTTCTTTTAGTTAAAATTAATAACTCTAATTTAGTCTTCCTTAGAATTATGATAAGGCCATTTTAAAACCTGTTTTATACCACGAAAGTAGCCACCCAGATATACAAACCGACCTATACGACTTAATCTACCCAGTCAGGATGGCGCCAATATAGTCACTAGGCCTCTATTAATGGTGGCTAGTAACGCGGATCCTGAAATTGAATCTGCTGTGAATTTGTGTATGCAGGTGTGAGTAACAGTTGTCTGGTGGTATTCTTGGATTATATTCAAAGCACGACAACTGCGGATGGAAAAACCATCCGAACCTGCAGTTGTGTGGCACCGATGATTGGGTAGCTCACCCTCTTTTGAAGAAAAACGACAAAGGAGAATGACCATTAGTCAAGATTTGACTAGCAGAAACTTTATGCTTGTGAACCGATTTAACAAGGTTTTACAACCAGCTCACAGACCTAAAGGTGATGTGACTTAATTTGCGGCAGTTTTATATGCAGTTGTCTCTAAAATAAAGCATACATACTTTTTCTTTTATAGAGCATTTCTATTCTCAACTAAAATGAGATAGATCCATTACCTTTACCCTGCTTCTATGCAACCTTATACTTCAGCCTCCCTCCGAATGGACGAGCATGCCTTCAATCGTGCTATGAAACAAGAGTTAAGGGATGCCAACCAGGAGGCAACACGCTTCTTGCAGGAGCAAGCGCTGGCTCAGGCCCAAACAGATGGTGTCGAATTTGAGACTACCGGAAATTCGGGATCAAATGCGGTCCTCTGGTCAGGCCCAGGAATGGGAAGATTTACCAACCAACTTAACGATGGAGTTAAGTGCCTGCTTCTTGGTGAGCAAATGACGGG